CACCGTGAAAGGGTATTTTATGAGGAATCTGAAAAGAAAGTTGGATTAGTGTTGGTCCTAACGACTTGGGAGTGTGACCGCAGAGTCCAAGGGACATTTGCTTGAGGCCGTTCGCGCATGGCCTTTTTATGGGAGGTTTTCAACTTGTTAGCTCCGTTCTTCGAAAGGCCTTACCGCCAGAGACGGAAATCCATGAGGTAAGGTGAGGTGTTACATTTTTAGGGTCGACCTTTCCTAACCCCACCCCTCCTTGTGAGAAGGCAGCACCACTGAAAATGCTGGTTGCCTGGGGAAAACAACTTACTGCTGTCACACTCCTCTACAGTCAGCATTACGACTTCGCCCTCAGATCTTGAGTTGCTGCCGTTCTCCAATCGACCTGTCTGGCATAGTAGAACCTACAGGAACATATGTTTTAGATAATATAGCTCGGCTGGATCATCACAATAGGTAAGCTCGACCACCACGTCGGGATCAATGGTTGTACAAAATATGCATATTCAAAACTTCATTCTCGTAATTGATTTATTTTAATCCCGTTATTCACTAACACGAATTAACTCGAAGATTATATAGGAGGGTTGACGATTATGTATACTTTGATCATATAATCATATTGATCATATAATCCAGTTAAGGTCAGATAAAGGATCATTAACATTGTTGCTGGGTCATTTCAATGTAAAAGATTTGTTTGTCTTTTCTTGATAAATACGTTAAAATGAACTTTAAAAAACAATGAACAATTTTAAATTTTAATTTTTTTTAGACATTTTAAATCATTTTTTATCTCAATAACCCTAAAATCAAACAAACGAATGACCTTAAAGCGTTTACCCATTGAAAACTAGTAGTTACCATTATGGCATTAGCTGATTAGTGATTTACGTTTGAACCCTATATTAAAAATAACATAAATATATATTTGATTGGAACCTCTTGTGACGAAGCATAGGCCACCCTCCATCATTCTTAATCAAACTCTGTTCCTTCCAGATTTTATTTATCCTTTGACATCTGCTTCTGATTCCCGAATCAATGTGTTCTTCGGTCTTCCTCTTTTCCACTCCCAAGTTAGCGCATGCCTCGTGATGTAGTTTGATGATTTCCACAATGTATGTTCTATCCACCTCTGTCGTCTTTTCCTAATTTACTATTCAGATGCAAGTTAATTTATTTTCTTGCACAGTGGGTTGTTGCTGATGTTATCCAGTCAGCGGACATTGAGTATCTTGTGTAGAAAATTGTTTTTAAATACTTGTACTTTTTTGTTGATGATTGTAGTAGTTCTTCACGTTTGAGTTCCGTACATTAGAACGGTAGAACAGCAGAACTCTTCCTTATTATGGTTGACTGAATTATGAAGATCTCGATATCTAAGGAAAAGCACAGAATATAATGTGCAGCTTGCATGCAACTAGTCGATTTGGAATTCGCTCTGAACTTCAATCTGGCCCTTCTATCTCATACACGCAAACAAATGCAGGTCAAGACAACCAGTATGGCAGAAGCCTATGTATTAATAGGCCTCAACATACACTATGGAAAAAGAAATATCCTTAAATACAGCACGGAGAACACCAACCTAATCACGCTTGATAGAGAAACTCTGGAAGAGTTGGAAACTTCCATCGATAAACAAGGAGGATCCGATGTAGGAGTATAGGTAAGGATTGGTAAAGCAAGGGCAGCATTCCTACATTTGAAGAACATATGGAACTCAAACAACTGTCAATCAATATCAAAGTCAGAATCTTCAATACGAACGTCAAGATAGTTTTACTATTTGAATTTATATATAGCTTCACATCGACTGACGCTACGATTGTTAGTACAGCAAATACAGTACACTACATTTTCAAACCAATTTTGCTCATTTGTCGCTTAGACGGAGAAATAGTACACGTTGGTATTGTTTACTGATAGAAGTAATATTAAACACAGTTCCCCTCTTGGTTAATAAGAATAAAACAATGATATTCGATAAATATGAAGAATGTATTGTTAATTCGATTATCAATTTATAACTGAACATTGTCTTTTATTTCAAGACCACTAGTCATTCTTATTCTCTAATTGAATAATCTACAAGTTCTCTTCATCGTTACATTCCTCATGATTGTTCGACGCCCTAAAATAGAATAGGAAGAAAACAGATTATATTAAATAAAATGTTTTACTAGAATGATTCACTTCTGAAATTCTTTCACTACTTATTTAACAAAGAAGTTCGAAATGTTATCGAGTAGCCTCTGTAACAAATTCAGTTAATTCAAGGAGTAGTAGTTGGTATTATAATTGAAAACTAGATCTACTAAGTTGTAGTTGTTATAGATCTATACTTCAGAGTAATCTTGATCGGAACTCAAACATCTTTGAAATGAATTGATTATGAAAATAGCTTTCGTAAAGGATTGTTATAATTTAGAGGGAAACTAGGGACCAATGATTGTTGAGTAGCCGTTCCACCCTAGTTTGGAATTTCACAGAAGTGCTTATCCATGAGCCCTTATGGGATCGAACCCATAATTTTCAAGTTTGACAAAGAACATAGTATTCTTAAAAAGGTCGATCGGATCCATATTTTACAGTTTCAGTGACTTTGCTATGTGGTAAGATTAAATGATTCTTTAATTTGATAAATCATGACTTTTCACTACATATTCACAGAATTCACCGTAAGTCCGGTTCTGAATAATCTAATGCTTAGCTTCTGTTTGTGATAAAAAATTAGCTGCAAATTCTATTAATCTTCACAAACTCTCCGTCGAAATGAATTCATCAGTTAAGTAGTTATACTTTGATTGTTAGTGAACAACTTGAAATTTTTGGTAAAACTATGTCAGTCACGATTAAAATCGATAATTGTTACTATGGCAATGGTTCCCGGTGAACGCAAGGAAACTCTGAAGGAGCCGAAGGCATTCCACTCAGAATATTCCAGAATATCGACCTGTAGTTTCCCTGTTGGACATGTGCTGAAAACCACTGAATGCGGATTGGTTGACTTCAATAATCATTACGTTTTTACTAAAAACTATAAATACCCAAGAGTTTTTGTATCATATTGGACACTGTTCGAAATACGATTCCTTCCCACTTGTCTTCTGTCTTCTAACTTGACACTTGGACGGTTCAATCATTCGACGGCTTAAGTTGTAGCAAGAATCCAAGCTCTAGACTTAACAGTTAACACTTTTAAAAGTGACTCAAAATATCACAAAAAATGTTTTGGGTGTTGTGTGCATACATGTCTTCATGGATAAATACTGATCAATTTTATTTCTCTTTATTGATATTCAAGTTTCTTTCAATATTTTCAAAAGACAGATGGTTTAGAAATTTCAGAAAATTTCTGGAAATCAAATATATGTTATTGTGGTCTATGCTACTTATGTCGACAGATATAAGTAGTATGTAACACCAATCGGTAGTGGAAACCTAACAACAAAAGGCTATGACGGTCAACTTGAAGAAAACAGAAATGGAATAAGATAGGAGTTATGGATTTTAAGAATCATACTGAATATGAAAGACAAACGATTAAAATCTGTAAATGAAGTATTTAATGTATGATTCTCATACTTTACTTTTGATTGTTCCCACCCGTGTTCTTGTTCACAACATTATCACTCAAACAGAACTGATATAGCCTAACTCAAGGAACTAGACAACACAATGATAGGAAGTGATGAATTATTTCACTATTAAAACATTCGTCTCCATAACAGACTATACTTAAGTTCATTCAGATTTATTTATACGATGATAATATTTAAGCTGAATTATAAACAATTGATTTAATTCAATTACTAATGAGTTTGTAGGTATCAATGTCGAAGTTGAACTTGATAGTTTCAAGTTCGTTCTGTTCTAATTTACGGATGCTAAACGTCGCTATTAAGAGTACAAGATACTCGTGAGTAATTAGTATTTCATCACAGATGTCTCAGAAATATTGCACGCATCTGCTGGGATCACCAGGCAAGTAATAGTGAGGTTAGATGCAGGGTATTAGGCAATAATGGTTAATCAGATGATGAGGTTATGAATCTTCATCGACTAAGATGGTTGGGCCACATGTTACGTATGTCTGAACACAGATTAACACGATGCGCAATGCCGACTCGTGTTGTAGATGGTTGGAAGAAAGTTAGGGGCGGCCAAACCAAGACGTGGAATAAGTCCACAAATCACTATTTCTTGATCTGAGCCATGTTAGTAGATGCAGAGTACTTGGTTGGGGTCCACGCGACTATCGTAACTAATGATCGGAGACTGTGGGTGACATGGCTCAAAATCGATTACAGTGGTGTAGGTGTATAAATTTTCTGTCTTGCCTTAAATCTTGAAATTAAAATTACTTTATACCTTTTGTTCTAATTCTTCCTTAGACACAATCTTTCCTTTATACTTTTCTATCATTGAAGTAACTACTTCCATGAATTTGGTGTTGATCTTGTTGTGCTAATGAGGTATGTCAACTTGTACCGATGCATATATGTGCCTGGTCCTACGTTGTAGCTAAATGACTGTTAGTTTCAAATAAATTGAGAATTGAGTAGAAAGTTAATAATAAATATATTTCTTTGTAATATCACAATGAATAGAGAAATTGTATTCCTGACGTTTTATGATTTGGTGTAAGCTGCTTCTTTAGAGTATATAAATAACCGAATTCAATTAACATAAGTTGAAACTGTTTCCTTTGCATCATTTAAACTTGTGTTAACTGAATTTGGTTATTTATCTACTCTGAAGAAGCAGCTTATATGAATGTACGAAACGTCAGGAATTAAATTATTCTATTCATTGGAATATAACAGAAAATATATCTACTACTAGACAATTAATTATGCACACTGCTGAGGAGTCTCATACTAAGACGTAAAAGCTGTCCAGTGCTTCCAGGTTTTTCATGATGATCTAGCTTCAATAATAAAAGATAATTAATTCATTATTATTATTGAGATCAGTAATAATCATAATATGCTAACTTACTAAAGACGTGGTAAAGGACGCTGTTTCTTTTTGGAACGTTTATCATCTGATAGTTTTGATGTATTTTCTTCCATTTGATCATTTGATTGTTTATCATCCGAATTTAATTGTTGTTGTTGTAAACGTTCAGCTAAGGCTGTTTCATGTTCTTCCCGATCTTTTTCATACCTACCAAAAAAATACATTAATATCAAATCTGTTTCAATGTATAAATATTGTGGTGTGTTCTACTTATATCGACATAAGTAGTTTATAACGCTTGTCAAAAATAGATGTCTGGTAGGAGAAGGTCAAGAAGATCGATGAGGTAAGAACGGGATACGATGGTGATGTTGTGACATCTGAGATAGATGAATTAGTTGTGAAACTTTCATTGTTCTTCCGAATAACATTATAACCACTTACTTCAAAGCGAATTGAGCTATTAGAATTTATTCATAATTGAATAATAGCTTATTCTGTTGACCTTAAACATAGTCGATTGTTATTCATAACTATGTGATTGTTGTTAATGAGTTTGTTTCGATTATTTTCCGTTATAACTTAAACTCTGACTTGAGAATTGTTAAGAAGAGGAAATACAAAACAAAAAGCTGAAAGATCTTTAGTAGCTTGGTCCTTTAATTAGAAATAAGTCAATAGACTTATCGAAATCGATTAAATCTATCAGCCAATAAGAAAAAACATAAATGATGATCAGGTCAAAAGAGAAAATACTTGAAACCAGCCCTTATTCAATCACTCACTTCTCTTTATAGTACTACGTAATAATGTTATTTAGAAGAACAATGAAAGCTTGACAACCAATCCATCTATTTCAGTAGTTACAACACCTCCAGCATTCCTAACCTGAGTTACAAATATTCTTCATCTCAAAATCATGTGACAGTGATACACTTCTCAGTTTTACTTCTTTGATTCTGTTAGACTACTTTAACAGTAAGTTACTGTTGAAATGAGAATTCACTTTTATAAAAGAAATAAAGTAACCAATCACAGCAATCAACCAGATGAAACGATCTGACAATAGTAATAGACTGAGCCACAAACTTTTTTTAATAAAGACTTTACTATTTCAAATATTCTCTTGCTTCCCGATAATTTATGACTTGTACTGTTCTAACGTGTTCCAAACACGTTTATATCTTCATAGTTGAAATCACCAGTCGATTCAAGCTAGACCACCATTGGAAACTTGAAATTATTAGATGGCCGTTTCGTCCTAGTATGAAGGTCTTCATCAGTGCGTATTCACGATCCCACCCACTCACGGGACTAGAACTCAGGACCTTCGGTCTCATGCGCGAAGAATTAACCTCTAGACAACTGAGCCGGCGTCTAATAAATTTAATGTCAAACTTCAATCAATCCATGATCTTGCGCAAACGCTCGTCTACATTTGTTTATTACATGCCTGATTGTCATTATTTAAGCATCTAAACAAAATTCATGAAGCATATAATTCCTTAGTACATTTTAAAATCTGGTTTTACTTCTGATTTTGTATGGAAAGAAAGCACATTTACATTTAAAATCAAATTGATATACAATAATTCAATAAAAATATCACATACATTTCATTTAACTGATGACTTCTATCTAAAAGTTGACTAACTGCCATATCTGTAGCTTCTTCTTTTCTTGTCTTCTTACGACCTTTGGCTTCAGTTATCATCTCATCAATTTTATCTTGCTGCCTAGCTGATTCCGATGTGAATCTCAATGCTTGTAATTTCATTTTCTCCAGAAGCATTTCCTAAAGTTAGGAATTTGATAGAAATCACTTCTACTACTAATCTTACTTTTAAGTAATACATTTGCATGTTGAAATTATTTTCTTTCTTTATTTATTGGAACACTCAAATATTGGTAAAAAGGGACACCAATAACATATGCTTCACACAAGTCACTTGATTTGTATGTGGGCTGTGATACTGTCCGGGTGCCCAGATCGTAGCAGGTGGTTTTCTTGGAGGACCACACCCGGAGACTTTGACCTAAACGTCTGATCCACAAGGCAGTGGAGCAACGTCAGGAGATACAGTCTCATAGCAGCCGATAACCAACAGTTTGTTCATACACTATTTATTACTTCGGGATACTGGAGCCCATGTGCACCATTGGTTTGGGATCCGGTTAAAGCGCCGGACATTCGCTTTTCGTCTTCTGAATTTCGTAAACAACATCCCCGCTGCGTGGACGCAGTGAATAGGACTTCTCTGGCAGAGGCTGTATACGCGTGGCCATGTGGGAGGATTTCGATAAGGGGAGCTGACTCTCCCCACTCCCGGCCGTACCAGGGCATTTGGGAGCGAAAAATTGTTTTAAATTTAAAACATATATGAAACAATGATAAACGATTTAGAAGTTTACAAAAATTACAAAATTAAATTAGCCAAAAGAATGTCAGTGAATTTGTTTTCTTACTTACGCCTGTTACTCCGAATGGAGCATAGGCCGCCGACCAGCATTCTCCAACCCACTCTATCCTAGGCCTTCTTTCTAGTTCCATCCTATTCTTGTTCATTTTTTTCATGTCTGTCTCCATTTCTCGGCGTAATGTGTTCTTTGGTCTTCCTCTTTTCCTTTGGCCTTGAGGATTCCATGAGACGGCTTGTCTTGTGATGCAGTTGGGTGCTTTCATCAATGTGTGTTCTATCCATTTTCAGCGCTTCTTCCTGATTTCTTCCTCCACTGGGATCTGGTTTGTTCTCTCCCACAGTACGTTGTTGCTAATAGTGTCCGGCCAATGGATCTGAAGTATTTTGCGTAAACAACTGTTAATAAACACCTGTATTTTCTGGATGATGGCTTTCGTAGTTCTCCAGGTTTCTGCCTCATACAGTAGAACTGTCTTGACATTTGTATTGAAAATCCTGACCTTGGTGTTGGTTGACAGTTGCTTTGAGTTCCTGATGTTCCTCAGTTGTAAATATGCTGCTCTTGCTTTTCCGATACGTGCCTTCACATCTGCATCAGATCCACCCTTTTCATCAATGATGCTGCCCAAATATGTAAAGGTTTTTACATCTTCCAAATCTTCTCCGTCAATTGTGATTGAATTGGTGCATGCTGTGTTGTACCGGAGAATTCTGTTTTGTTTTTCAAGGCTAACTAAAAGTGTTATTTCTAACACAACATAGGTTTTTAACATAATTACACATTTTTCTTGAGATTATGCAATGATCTAAGTTAGAAAATCATTAAAAACCTGGAAGCACTTGATGGTCGTCTGATCCTAATATGGGACGTTTCAGTATTACTCACTGATAACCCCGTAACCGGAGATAATAACCGGTTATAATTTCCTACTTAATAGTTCTATCGGTACGACTCATATATTCATCTCGACCAAACATTGTGTTTTTTAAGATTACCAAGCATCTATATGGTTTTTCTAGCACATTTAGACTCAGAGTACATCCATTTAAGTTAACGCTCTTGGTGAAAAATAACTTAAGACATTTTTGATACAGTAGAATCTCCAATTCCAATCTTCATTTTAATGAAACATCCGCTGTTCTCAACAGCAACATTATAAAAGTTTTGTGAAGTGATTCGTGGAGATCATTGTATTGTTAAATGATTCTCATTACGGAGTGGTATTTGTCGTGATAATACTAGATACTATAGAGCAACTGGTAAATATTTTGTCTTAGTATGAGAATCCTAGGTGGTGCACACTTATAACACCACGAAAGGTTTTGTGTAACAGCAGAGTTAGTTCTTTGGGCGATCTCATTACATTTGAATAAATGAGTTGATCAATGCTTTCAACTTAGTTCACTTTTGTAAATTACCAGAACAATCCACTAGTTGTCATAAGTGATGATTGTCTCAAGCTTCACATGGATGAACTTTACTGATGACAACTTCTCATAGCTTCGGAAATTCATCTTAAAGCTTGTCATTACTAAACATACAGTTATAACTTATTCAAAAGATTTACAGAGCTTAATTGAGTTTGGATATTGTTTTCACCATGGATTAACATCCACTAGATTATTATTGAAAATCATAAACTTATTAGGTCACTTCAGTAGTGTGTAACAGATAAACGTCAATCAGTAATGAAAACCACCTCATACAATTTGATAATTATCATAATTCATTTCGTTACAAATAAAGTTAACAGATAAAAAAGAATTAATCAAGATCAATTAAGTGACAGTTAAAGTGAACAAGGTAACAAAGGGGGAGAGGAACGATTTTACAGCGTATAGATAGAAAAAGAAATTGTCACGTTATCCTAGGCCATAGAATGACTTCGCGATTACCAAGGTAAATTCAAGGTTACGACAAATTGTTTTTGTACACATATCGGGGGTGTAGCCCATTGGGGCCTCTCTTAGCTGATGTACTTATGTCATATGTGGAAAATATGACGAACGAGCTCATTGGTGAGGCATCTTTATACAGAAGATACATGGATGATATAATAGTTATATGTGATAAAGATTTTATGGTTTTCCAGTTATTACAAAAACTCAATGGGGTTCAAAACGATATCGTAATGTTTTATGAAGCAGAAAATAATGATCCATTGCCATTTTTAGACATACTTTTGAGTCGAAGGGAAGATGGTACTATAGGACGGTCAGTTTATAGGAAACCAACTTGAACGGGACAATAGTTAAATTCCCATAGTTCCTGTCCATTGCAATACAAGTGAGGCTTGATTAAGTGTCTCTTTAATAGGATTCAAAGAAGTTGCACCACTGATACGGTAAAAAGATGAAAAGTTGCTAACTAACACATTAATATCAAATGGTTATCCACTATAGTTTATTAATAGGTGCAAAAGTTAGTTGATGCCAACATCTCTCGTTTATTCGGTTCCAAAGAAAAAAGTTTATATCTATCTGCCATATAGAGGTGAATCCAACAGTATAGTCTTAAGACGGAGATTGAAAGCAGCCATCGAGAAAACCTATTATACTGCTAAATTGGTTGTGATTGAAAAGTCTAAGCCCATGATTCCAACTAGACGTAGACAATGCACAAATGACTACGTCACATCCCATTGCATTAACCAATTAACATGTTTTTGTGGACACATATACATTGGGAGTAGTAGTCGAATAATGCAATCAAAGGTCATTGGACATGTGCCATGATGGCTCCAAAATTAATTAGTGTCAAGTGATCCTATCAGTGTTGGAGGTAGAAAACCATGTTCATCGATAGCGAAACTTATAATTGAAACGGGGCACAAAATTGACATTAATACAGCTTTTAAAACGTTGTATAGAAATTGCCAAGGAAGAATTCTCAAGTTTATTGAAGCCTTGTCTATTCGTAAATTTAAACTCCCCTTATGTGTACAGAAACAATTTGTCGTAACCTTGAATTTACTCTGGTGATCGTTAATTCATTTTATGGCCTAGGATAACGCGAAAATTTCTTATTCTTTCTATACGATGTAAAATAGTTTCATTCCCCCTTTGTTACCTTGTTTACTTGAATTTTCATTACATTAACCTTTATTAATTTTCATATAAAAATGCCCTGACAAGTCATATATGTTTGACCAGATTGTTCGAAATGTATAGTGCAAATACATCACATTTTTCAGATCAACTCTGCCTTCTCATTGTTCTATCGAAATTTCTCAATGAGAGACTCATTACTTTAGATTTTAAAAAATAAAGAACCATGAATAATCATAAAAATGAACTAACTTGTTCTCTTTTAGCTGCTTCACCCAAATCGTCAAATAATTTCTCTTTCAAATATAAACTTGCTTTTTTATCTTGTTCATGTTGTGGTAATTCAGGAATTTGATTTAATTGAATAAGAGAACGTTGTTTCGGATCTTTCAATGATGTACTATAATGTATCATGTAAAACAATCATCATAAAAAGTATAAGATTATTAAATGATGACTGAAAAACTAATGGAACTATCAGTATAGGGTTGTAGAGATTATTAAGTTTTTGATTGAGATCATGAATTGATCGATGTTAGATCACCATTGAAAACCTGGAAGCACTGAACGGCTGTTTCGTCCTATTGTGGGACTCCTTAGCAGTACGCATCCACGATCTTGCTCGCGGGATTCGAACCCAGGGCCTTAGGTCTCGCACGCGAACGTTTAGCCTCTAAACCACTGAGATGGCTAGCATCCGATGGTGTTAATGTCTAACCTCATCCAATCCACGAAATTACTCAACCACCTCCTATTGTAGATATTTGTAGATATTTTTCTCTACCCTATACGGATTAGCTCCACTGGTCACGGCTTCTTACTAGAATTGCGAGAAGTTTCTCACGAATCTAGTCACTAGTGAACACATGGTAATTAACAGTATGGGGCTGTGGAGATTATTAAATTGTTGATTGAGATCATGAATCGATTGATTTTCGACCATCAGTGAAAACCTGGAAGCACTGGTTTTCAATTGTGGTGGAACATCAATCGGTTCATGATCTCAATCAAAACTTTATGAAACTGTTATCACATCAGACTAGATAAGGAGAGGTTAGTCATTACTCAATTAGTTCAGTGAATAAAGTACCGCTTAGCTTATTCATTGGTTTTGTATATTTCGTCGGCAGTCGTTTATCTGATTTAATGTTATGCCGTGACGTCCAGTGGTAACATAATGTCAATCACCGGTTGTGTTATAGTAGCATAACGTGGCAAATAAAAAATTGATACTTTCCCATTTTATCAGAAAATAAAAAGAATATACATTAAGCCAACGTCTATTGATAAATTCCAGCTTTATTACTAAGATCTAAGGGTGTATTTTTCTTTTTTCTTCTTCTTCTTGAGTATCCATTATTATTGACGTGTATAAAAATATCCACTCTTCTAATTTCTTTGTCATCATCTTTACGTATAAAGTGCATATCTCAATGAAGTTTCGTCCTCTGATTCGGATGATCTAGTCATGAATCATTCATTATCCTTCTAGACAATTTAATCAACATAGTACAAATAGATCACTTCTACCTGCCCACAGATTCAATAAAGAATGTATTGGTCAAAGTATACACTTTCATGATGGTGAATACCATTTGTAGCTTAAGTGGATAATTTTGGTTAAGTAACATGTTATGAGCACAATCGTGTAATTATGAAATATTGATTATTTTTCTGAACAAAATTATTCGTAAAAACGTCAGGTAGAAGTAATCTATTCGTACGGCAAGGTTATAACTAATGGACGAACCAACCAACAACATTCATTCATATATTTGGCGAAATAGCATTTCAGCATTATAGGTAATGTCAGTTGATAATGAAAACCCTAAATCTATGTTTTAACCCTAAGGATCACCTGTAGATCATAATCCTAAATGGTTTATAACCCTCATCTAGTTCTAATTAATAGATGTCCATTCTCAAGGTCACTTCAGCGTCGCTCAAATGTTGTCCATAAATTATATATATACATGATTGATTGATATCATGAACCGATTGATTTTAGGCCACCTGGACGGCCGTTTCGTCTCATTGTGGGACTGTTCGGAAGTGCGCATACACGATCCCGTTCGTGGATCGGTCCATGATCTCGATCAAAAATATAATAATCTCCACAACCCTATGCTGATATATATATATGAAAAATCGAAATTTATGTAAATGAAAGCTTACACTAAATTTGCGAATTTACCAGACTTTTTAATTCTGGTAACCCTCTGATCTCGACTAGGCTTTATTTCTCTAAAAAGAAAAGAAAAGTAAGTATGAAGAAATCAGTCTTGCAATTCATATAACATAAATAGATATATGTATTCGGAGTTTCTTAATTTCACTTAAGTAGCTGAATAACAAAGATGAAAAGGGATTTTTTTTCCGAATCAGTCATACTCCTCTCTATCTTTTTCTCTATGAATGTTTTACTCAATAACTGATTTATTTTTATTTCTACGTTCTTTCTGATTGCATTTCATTCTAACTTTAACATTTTATCTTATTATATCATACTGTAATGTGTGCTACTGATATCGACAGATATAAGTAGTATGTATCATCAATCGAAAATGAAATGTCTGAAGACAGAAGGTTAAGATGATCAAAAAAAAGAAGAGAACGAGAATAGAGAATGATTAGTGTAGAAACAAAGAAACAATGAAGTCTGAGACGATTAACTGACATTTTGCAAATGAAGTATTATACTATATGGCTCTCATATTTTACTAAGATGTTCTACAATTCTGTGTTCAAATACATTCAGTTGTGAGACGGTGGAGAAGATTTGTAGCTCAAGTGGATGATTTGCATGGAGTTTTGTTCTCTGAGCTGGATGGTTTGCTCATGGAGTTTTCATCGTTCTTCTGAACGACATCATCAGCACAAACTTCAAATAGAAATGAAGTGTTCGAATTTCTCCATGTGTTTTACAGCTTGTTCTGTACAACTCGACGTTGATTGGTTCTTATTGACCTTAAATTTGTTATTGTTTACTTCTTTGTTTTGGTTGTGTCTCCCATTGCTAACCAATGGGAACCAACAGAACTCCATCCAAAACATTCAATTGTCCCCAATTGTGTTCTGTATCACTACAATACAATTATACTTCTTCTAAAAATGAATTCAATAAAGTGAAAACTTTTCATTGAATCAATCTTCTTCCATTTTATTCTTTATATCTCGAAGAGTATATTCTTATTCTTTCCGAAATGTTTAATATTCCCTGATTTGTAATTGAATATAAAGTTATCTTGTTAATCTACATTATGTCTAAATAGGCAAATCCCATTCAATGAATATGATCTGATCTATGATAGATTATCTATTTTAGGTAAGAATTCATTTAAGGGTTGAATTATCACTAGTACAAAGAATTATTCCATAATCTTCAGATTATATAATACTCAGAATTACTATTTAGTAACTTCGAAAATGTTATGTAAATCTTATGTAAACCCAACATGGATTTATTTTATGAGACGATATGAGATTATATTGTATTATAATTGATGGACACAATTCGGTATGTTGATGTAATATGATGTAACATAAGTTTTTATTGATAAAGATGGTGTTTGGAAGAAGTCAACAGGAAACCATGAACCTAGGTGTCGTACCACTTGGTACTCGTCAGCAAGGTGTACCTGTATTATTCTTGAGAAAACTGATGGTCCCTGAGAAACTCGATTCCTTGTCAGCCAGCTTTACAGTCAGAGACGTTACCATTAAGCTAACCGGGCCGCACGCAATATCAAGTCACCTACACTGGTGGCCACATAGCAACTTAGTCGATAGGATTCAGTCTGTACTAAGAAGGACCTGACATACCTGACAATGATCACCACCCAGTGATCAATCATTTGTAGACTTATGGATATTGCTAATTTCCTATTAATTGGTTTAACAATATTATATGAATCAATGTATTAAAAATATTCGAAGATTCCTAATCGAAGGAATCCAGATTTAAGAATAGTATGAAAAAAAGTACAGATATTCGTTGTTTCCTACTTTTAAGAAAGCGTATTAATTATTGACATTTGATAATGAATCAATTAATTAGCACAATAAAACCATTATTCTATCGTATCATGTAACACTGTGGTGCATACTACTTATGTTGATAGACATAAGTAGTGTGTAGCACCAATCAGAATTGGAATGCCTAGCAGAAGAAGATTGCAATGAAGAGAACAGGAAGCGAATCAGAGAGCAATAGAAATGACAATGGAATTGGAGGAATAATGGAGTGTGTAAGGGACAACGCAAAGAAGATGTGCAAATGATGTATTTAATGTAGGATCTTCAAGTTTTACTAAGCTACTGTGTAATTCTGTGTCAAAAAATAAATTCGTTGGCCCAATCAAGTTTTCGTACACTACAACACTAGTAACGATACAAAATGATTGTTTTATTTATGTACGAACGAATACATAAGCAACTGACAATTATATAATATTCATAGTTTATGTCATTGACTTAACTTAAGTAAACAATCACTGGAAACCAAATAGCGCTAAAGAGTGGTTCCATTCTTGCATGAGAATCTTCATTGATGCACGTCAACAAGCCGGTGGGGATCGAATTCAGAACTCAGTTTTCCAGAGAACCCTTAACCTCTATACTACAGGCTTGACATCCAAAGGTGTACAAGTGTGATTTCAAGTAATTCGCAATATTAATTGATCGTCTTTCATTGACTGAAGTAGGTAACTCCACTAGTCACAGTTTTTCAACAGAACTTCAGGAGTCATATCTTGAAGTTAATCACTAATGAGCACATACCAATTAATATTAACACTAAAACTATACTACTTATTACATAATATAACAATACCTTGTCGATTTTCCTAAATCTTTTCTTTCTGTCGGTAATTTAACACGATCTTCAATAATAGGACTGGTCTCTTTTGATCGATTCAAATTCCCAATGAATACGTTAGCGATACGTGCTAATTTTTGCCCAATTTTTGTTGTGGTGTCAAATGGTAATGATTTTTCTGATCAAGAAAAAATTAAATTAAATAATAAATGAATTTGAGATGGAGAAGAGTTGTAGCTCATGTGGATGATTTTGATGAAGTTTTGTTCTCTGAACTGGATGGTTTAGTCGTGGAGCATTCATCGTTCTTCTGAACGACATCATCAGCACAAACGTCAGGTAGAAGTTTATGCAGATGATATGGTTCAGAAGAACGATGAAAGCTCCATGACCAAACCATCCAGCTCAAAGAACAAAACTTCATCAAAATAATAAATGAATTGTCGTTGATCAATTCCTTGAAGAAAACAGGTACATTTTGCTAATAATTGCTAAATATCAACTAGCCTTTGGACAACTAACAGAATTGTAGTTTTCATGTTAATAATCTATCTGTGTAAAAACATTCTTTGGTTTTAAAACTGATATATGATTGATCACCGAGCTCGAACATACAAGCACTTAGACTATTGACTATTAAATATGTGATTTCTCCACCACCCCCATCCCAACCCTCATCTGTTATTGATTTCTATTCTCGAATCACTAAGTCTGAGTGCTCATAGTTGTATTAATTATTGGTAAACTTAAACCGAAAGTGAGGATAGGAAGCTATTTAGGATGATTGTTCAACAACATGGATATTTATAATATTAGCGCTAATTATCAAGACGTTGTAGTGTTGGTTATCATGTTAAGCCCATATACCTTATTATACCTTTCGGACAAGCCAATCTATTGATTCTACTTGAGTCACATTTTGACCTTGTTAATTATTCACTTATCAATCTTATCCCGTGCAATCACAAATCTGTAGCTTATTTTTATATGACTATAAATATTGACTAACGCTCGGTTAAAATGGGTTTGTTTCACGAACCTACTCCGCTGCGTGTCATTTCAGTCTGCTCTCTTCTTTTCGCTTTTCCGATATTTTGTCTGGATCAACGATTGCATGAAATATACGTATTCAAAATTCATTCTCGTATTTGACTTATTTATTTCCGTTATCCACTAAAGCGAATTAAGTTGACGATTATATACGAGGATTGACGATATGTATATCTCAATGGCAATCAGAAACGATCTCGCTGGATTCAGAACTTGGGCCACTAAAGTGGTGAGCCCGTCACCCGATATGAATGATGACAAAATAAAGGGGCCCCATTAAAACGTCCCAATACTTTACTGTAGTTAAATGAGAGGATAGTGTAAATTTGTTATATTAAAACTGGTAAGTATATATGGTATTTAAGGTTGTACTAAGAATTTAGTGTCAGTAGATTAAGAATGAATATGGCTTTAAGTATTGTCTTGTATTTTATAAACCGGCATTTAAATATCAAGTTCAAGCCAATAAGTAATGTTTACAAACTCGATAACCAGAGAAGACTAGAGACTATGTAGACAGTTGTATTGTTGAAGTTAAAGACGGAAAAAAGAGTGAGTAACTGTCAATTCACATAGGATTGAATTCAAGACCTCTAGATCATACAACCGGCAAGATGATATTCAGTCAAATGAGTTAACAAGTATTAAACAAACCATTATGGATAATTTGCGTGAATATTTCTATTTGATATTTAAGACTGCAGTTGATCAATCCTAGGTAGGACGAAATGTACGTCCTGGACACCATTGTCAGGCAACGTCCAACACTATTTTTAATACGTATAAGTGACAAAAGTTGACACATGATAATCAGACTTACATAAATCGCACCATGATATATAAAAGCTTATCGCTGGTTACCTAGATTTCGTTTACTGAGTTTAAGAACTATGAATTTCCCGACATGTAGATCAAAAATGTTTAGCGATAATAAATCTCTCATTAAAATTTAGCTTTTTAAGTAAGCTTAGAATTTGCATTAGGAATCAACCCGTAGCTAAGTTCAGTCTATTTGATGACAAAGAACTAAACATTTTCAAGTATAAGTTCTTATTACTCATTTTTGTATTAAGTAGTTTGACAATTACATCAAAACTTACCCTCAACAATTTCAGTTTCCCCATCAGTAGCTAATAATTCATTTTTAATAGTTGCTAGAAGGTTATCCAAATCCCCTCTTAGCTTACGATATAAATAAAGTGTGATTTCAGACTCTCGTTCAAGTAGAATATCAGATCCACGAAGGAAATCAAACTGAAGAACAAATTAGAGACCAAGTAAATGTGCGATTAGGAATTAATGTAATTCAAAGAAAGCAATTTGATTTATTATGTGAAAATAAAATAGCCACTTAAGAATATTTGTAAAAGATAAAAACCAGTCAGTACTAGTTAGCCATCATCACTGATCAACATTGTGCAGATGTTTACTATCCGTGATAATCTCGAATTATCATTACTACACGCTATTGCAGGGATTTTTGATATCACTTTCTGTCACTGACTCGTCTTAGAGAACCACAGAAAACAGAGGAGCACTGAAGCCCTCACACGATCAAGCCCAAGACCTTCAGGTTTAGTAACGAGCGTCTAGCCTTCAAAGCATTGAGTGGGGTCGTGAATGTGTATGGTTAAGAAGTTCCATATTGGAGCAAAACAGATATCAAGCGCTCCGTAATTTTCACTGGTTGTCTAACAAAAATCAGTCTGTGATACAAGCTATAAGCTTATATCAAACAGTCACAGGTTAGTAATCAGTTTTAAAATGTCTAGTCCCCAATAATCATAGAAATCCGTTGATCAACTTGTACACTTTATTCAGCATGTAGTCATCAGTACGATTTAATGTTTAAGCTTTTTTTCCATCCTAATGAGCAGTTGATTGGAGGTCTATATCTTACATCAACAAATGTTTAAGCTTTCCTGTCGAACGTTTATACCTGTTGAAGAATTACAACGAATTAATAATTCGGGTACCCACTATGAATTTTGTTAGTTTTTAATTAATTATGTCATGAAAACCTACGTTAATATCATTGACATTCAGAATAAATTCCAAAGCTATTGAGTGGGTAATTGCTACGGTAGTTCAACTTAGCTATAAAAAATAAGAATATAGATTCTCAGTAATAAGTAATATAAAGCATTAGGGCAGTGTTTTTTTCAATACAGCAATTGTGTAATCCTATTCTTAACAATGGTCATAATACTAACTGTGAATACAAAATGCTACATAAAAACTAAGAAACTTTGTTGTCTGATAAACCGACCCTTAAAATAGAACTAACCAAAAGCATTATAAAAACACATTACTGATTTGGGGTCAGTCAGTAAGTCAGCAACAACGTAGAACTTCGGACGTACATACATCAATTCATGTTGACATACCGCATTAGCACAGAGATGCAATTGTCTATCCCATAGTGGTGGAAGTAGTACAAGTATAAGCAGTAATCGGAAACATTAGGGTTTCAAGATGTCATTCAAAGAGTATAGTCCAGTGAAATAAATTTGGAAAGAGAAAAAAAGGGTTAATGAAGAATTCAGGAGGTTAGAATTTTGGCGAACACAAAGAGTAGATGCACCTGCACCAATGAAACGATTTTAAGCCATGTCATTCACGGTTTCTAATCATCGATTGCAATCGTCTCGCAGATCCCAACCAGGTAGTCTACACCTAAAAACATGAATTTGTTCCATGTTTTAGTCTGGCCACCCCAACCTTTCTTCCAATCTACTCCTACACCATGAAACATCGCACTCCGGGGCAGTCGGTAGTTGGGCATATGTAACACATTTCCCAGCCAACTCAACTGATGAATTTTCACTACTTTATCAACAAATTCGCCATCTTACTTGATGTGAGGTAGAATAATACTAATGTAAACATCAGAATAAAATGTAAAATACAAATGGATTATTGTTTGAGTCAAAGATCGATCTCCACCACAATACAATTTTGGATCGTTTTGTATAAATGATAATCCAACTAATGACAATCATTCAGTATACACAATTAATCATTTCACTCTATAGTGATTAAACATATCAGATCTTTACTATTACCTGACTACAAATGTAAATCCTTTAAATCATTGTATGACAATATTACCAAATCATGTCTCTATATAGAAGTCATTCAAGAACACATCCCCATATATAGTAAACAAACAAACAAACAAAAAAGAACTATTAACTGACCTGTTCAAAAACTGGCAGTTTTGATAAACGATTCTTAATTTGTAAATCAGTGAAAGGTCTTCGTCTTTCTAATTCAGTCATCATCATCATATTGTATATATCACATATACATGTAGATTATAATTATAAAATAGGATTCTTTAAAGATAAACTAAGATAGATAGAATTCCAATTGGATTGTATACGTATAGTTACAGGTTGATCATGTATTTATACAAAGAATGAAACAACAATAATACAATCAATTAAGAGTTAGTTAAACAATAAAATAACATTGAAATAAAGAATAGAATATCAGTTATTTACTTTACTCAGTTCAAAAGTACAAGTTACTATGGTTACATAACTATTAAACGTTTTTATATAAGATTCTACTGTAGAAATATATATGAAGAAACTGATAATAAACAAAGTTGAATGGTGGCTAGTAATGGAATTCAGGATGCCTGTTACGTCTTATTTAGGACACGTCAGCTGAATGTACTTGCATCGTAAACTTGATGTTCACTCTGGGAATCGAACCCAGTACTGTTCGTTACAAACTGGTTGATATAAGCTTATAGCCTGCATCACAGGTGGCTATCAGGATTCAATAGTTAAATGGATAATGTGATGGTGTTTGAAGAGAATGGTACTGGGTTCGAGTTCCAGAGTGAACATCAACTCTGAGGTGAAGTTACATCCAGCTGAGTCGCAGATAGAACGAAACACGCGTCCTGGATTTCACTGCTAGCCACTATCTACTTTTCCTTGTAAAGCTTGTGACTTAATGCAATACACACAGTACGCATATATGCGAATATGAGACTGATCAATTGCAGTCGTAGACATCAACGAGAAGATTCAAACAAACAGTATCAAATGAATTTAAAACTGATAATTTTTAAATACTAAATTTACAATCGTAATTAAGTTGATACAAAATGAAGGCAACGCTTGCAACTAGTAAGAGTACATTATTTAAAAAGACATTAGTATTATTCTCCTTGAACATTTGTGAAAATGTTAATAATGTAGAGTTTGAGATACATGTATAGTCATAATTAACATCATTTTAGAGCATCGTATTATTTTCGGAATATATGTGTCCAATAGTCCGTTAAATATCACAAGACTAAACCGACATCGACTTATATGACCTTGGCACTGTGCCAAGTCAATGACGAGTTAACTAGTACGGGGAGCCTACATTCAACTTTGAATCCTTATTGGTTCACTTTGCCTTGCTCTGACTGTTCAGTCCAGAACGAAATCTCAGCTTCCAATGTATGCATCATGTATTTCAGACATACGCAGTTTACATACAAGGAAATCAGACGTCAACACACCATGAAATAGAAAATAACAATTATACAATATCATGCGAAAAGTGGCTGTGAGTGTGAGAAACAGTAACTAATAGATTGAGAATAACTCAAGAATAGTAAATCGTATAGTAGTAGGCAATAGGTCGAATGGAAGCTTATAATAAGGGAAATAGTTGTAGTTATCCGATAAGATTATATGTAATAATAGTCCATAAACAATTCCAAGGAGTTACCATTCATTTATTCTTCGTTAAGATATAACAATATACATTAATAGTCGTCAATCTTGTAACCATAAGGTTACTCTTAATATGCCAAGAAAGTGACATGACTACAAGATCATAAGAGTTTTGAAATAATCGATGTCACATAGATTATTGTTATCCACCGTTTTTAAGTACAACATTAACTGCGGTTGATATTGTTAGCTAAGCCCGTAAACCAATGAAATATTGTAAAATGCTACTAATGTAGGTGATGTTATCCAATGTGATTATTCCGCTATACTCAAATATCTAGTTGATTTTTCGAATCTCGGCAGTCATAGAAAGCCGTTTAGTCAAAAGACTAAGGCGTTATTTTTGCGAAGACGGAAAATATCCAGTGCAAAACAAAATGGTTCCAGTCCAGTTTTAACCACTAATTTATGGTGAAAATATATTTATTACTAAAACAGATACTGCATTCATTAAATTTTTAAAGATCACATATTTTATAGTTGAATTCATGAGTCAGTTGAAGTTAGGCCACCATGGAAAATCTGGAAGCACTGGATGGCCGTTTCGTCCTAATATGGGACTCCTGAGCAGTGAGCATCCACGATCCCGCCCCACCAAATTCGAACCCACGACTTACCGGTCTTGTGCGCGAACGCTTAAACATTAGACCACTGAACTGGCCAGCATTCAACGGTGTTAATTTCTAACTTCAACTTATTTCTTAATATATTCCGACTGATACATGCATTTCATGTATAGACGTGAAGGTAATTATGCGCTAGTTTGACTAAATCACTTCATCATTGATTTAACTAATTTTATACATGAAAACTGAGTACAATTTGTTGAAAACGGTTTTCAGTATAAACAGGAAGTGCGTACACAATTTCTCTAGTGTTATGCTGGATAAAACTGTGTTAGAAGCGTTATCATTAGGCCCTAAGTTTTGTGACTTCAAGAAAACAGTCAATAAAATGGACGTTGAAATTCAATTCGAAAATCTTTATGCTCAAACGGTAGAACTAGTAACTTCATCAAAAGATAATGTCGAAAGATTTAAGTCAACACTAGTCGACTGTTGTTTTAAATACATAAATCATAGACACAACACGAAAGGGATTTTGACGAAAAAACATACAGAAGCTTTAAGACAACTTAAAACTAATGGCAATTTATTAATCATGAAACCGGACAAAGGACATGGAATAGTACTCATGGATAAAAATGACTACATAAACAAAATGAAAGCCCTTTTAAATGATAAAAGCAAATTTCAGAAACTGGCTGTAAAAAACGACATAGCAGACAAGATTGAAAAACAACTAACTGATTCACTGAAAGAAATTAAACAACGTTTTATTACAGAAAAGTTGTTCGAAATGTTGAAACCTACAGGAACGATCACATCAAGATTATATGGCCTACCAAAAATACACAAAAGTGGCTTGCCCTTCAACCAGTTTTAGATATGAATACCTCAGCGTATTATTCTATAGCAAAATGGTTGGTGCAAATTCTTAAACCATTACACAAAGAAATTGTCAAGCATAGTGTCAAGGATTCTTTTGAATTTGTTGAGAACATAAAAAAATTTATCAGTCAAGAATAATTTCATGTTATCACTTGATGTATCATCTTTATTCACTAACATTCCATTACAAGAAACAGTTGATTTTATTTGCAATGAACTAACAGAGAGACGCATAGAAACCCCGATTCCAGCATCCGCGATAAAACAGTTAATTCTCAGATGCACAATGAATGCACAATTCAGATTTGACAACGAATACTATAGACAAATAGATGCAGTTGCCATGGGATCACCATTTGGCCCTCTACTGGCTGATATTTTACTTGCAAAACTAGAAAACGGACCACTTGAAAGCATAATTAGCCATTTACCAACTTATCATCGCTATATAGACGATACCTTCATAGTATTAGAAAAAGAAAATGATAAGGACAATTTACTTAATACATTTAATAACATTCATCCATCAATTAATTTTACTAGTATAGGGGTTGTGGAGATTATTAAGTTTTTGATTGAGATCATGAACCGATTAATGTTAGACCATCACAATTGAAAACCTGGAAGCACTGGACGGCCGTTTCGTCCTATTGTCGGACTCCTCAGCAGTGCGCGTCCACGATCCCGCTCGCGGGATTAATTTTACATCAGAAGATGAACAGAATGATAGCATATCATTTTTAGATGTCCAACTAACAACAAGAGCAGACGGAACTTTAAAAAGAAGGGTACACAGAAAGTCTGCAACAGGACTATACACTCATTTCCGTAGTGCAGTTTCAATCAGATACAAAAGGAACTTGATAAAGATCTTGACACATCGGGCTAGAATGATTTGCTCTGAAGACACCATCGAAGAAGAATTGAATAATATTCGGAACCTACTTAGTATGAATGGGCATCCCATGAAATTCATCGACAAACATATGATGGAAAAGAAAACAAGGACAAAGATACGCACCGTCCCTAAGAAGGTACTATTCATAAAACTACAATTCATAAATGACACCATTGAAGAGATCTTGACTCATAAACTAAAAAGAGCCGTACAAAAAACATTTAATGCTGCCAGATTAAATGCCATCTTCTACAACCATCCCAAAATAAGAACAGCCAGACTGCCTGAATTCGCCAAATCTATGTGTATCTATCGTTTCAACTGCTCTTGTGGAGCCAGTTATATAGGGCGTACAATGCGGCAAGTCCGTCATCGTATTACAGAACATCATCCGTCATGGGTAAGCAAAGGACAGGTAAAAGTGATTAAAAGTCCTATTCTCTCTCACTTGGTTGACATAGGTCATCAAGTTGAATTGAATAAAGCTTTTAAGGTTATCTACAATATCCCATCAAATTTGCCACATGGTTTACGAGTGCGCCTCTTGCACATTGCGGAAGTCATCGCGATCCATATTCACAAACCTGACCTTTGCATTCAAAAGAGATTCGTACAACCACTTTCTCTACCCTGGCCATCAGTATAAGATTTCCTACAAAAGAACTATTTTGCATACTTCTTCCACTTGTTTCTTTTAACTTTTGTAATTTTGTTTCTGTTACTTTTGAACTTAATAACTTCTCAACATTCATCTCTTGATTCTTACGTAACTACCATCCTATTGACCATCCGTTGAAAAATTCTGTTCCTTCTCTCGTTTTCATATATTACGCAACGTAGCAACGTCTTGATTTTCGAATAATTACTTTAAATATTAATAATCCTCTTTCTTCCAATTACTCAATGTTAATTTAAATGTCATTATGTAATTGTTATTACGTAACGTATCCACTCGATGAGTATAATATCATTATTGTAAATCATATATATATTAGTGTAGAGCCATGATGAAAAACTAATTGAAAAGAAATTTCTTCGCTCAATTCGCTTCTTCTTTATTTACTAAACAGGAAGTATTGGACAATCATAAATCTATAGACTTAATCAACTCGGATACGGGAAGACGTCCCAATGTGGTTCTACAAAGGTGATAGGAAAGCAGTTAGAAGTTCCATACATGAACATCT